ATTTCAAACTCGTTGTGGATTGCATCTGCAGCAGCAGCGGCACCACCATAGATGAGTGAGTAGGGTAGGGATCAAAGATTAGTTTGTATATGTGAGCGGATTTGCGAGGAAGGGGAGGAACCTCCTCTGCCATAGTTGAACTTGAATAGAGAAGAAAGGCTATGGAGACTGTGCAGTTTCTAATCATGTTGGAAATTGGAACTCCTGACACAAAACTCGGGCGGGAAAGCTTCCTAAATCCAAATCCTGCCTACAATTGCAGTGCAACTATCGCGCCTTTGAATCTGAATTAAACCAACTGGAAATCAGAATTGGAATTGGCTGGATCTGTGTAGTTGGCCCCTATTTCAATTTCCAATCATCATATCATATCATCATCATTCAAAGTTGTGTTGCATTGAAGTGATGATCATCAAATCAAACCCAGATGAAATTCAACGATCAATTACGAGGCCTTGTTTCCAAATGATATTAGGCTATATATTTATTTTTTAAAATTTTATGGCATTTTATAGTTGTTATATATAATGAAGTAGAAACAGTAAATGACTCTTTTCAATAATTTCTTCTTTCATCTAAATCATTTCATCCAAGTCACCTTGCAAAAAAAATCAGTTTTAACATCTAATTATTTTAGATTCCAATTAAAATGAGCAACCAAAGCTAGCATGCTTGAACAATAGAAAATTTCACAACTGAAGAAAAAATTTCACTATAACCGATACCCTCTTTTTGGGTAAAATCCTTAGTTACTAGTCTAGCTTTAAATCTAATATTATTTTTTATCATTTGTCACTTTAAAAATCCATTTACAATCCACCAAAGATAACCTTTCAGGTTTGGTAACTAAAACCTAAGTGTTATTATCATGTAAGGACTTTATTTCACCATTCATTGCTTTAATCCACTATATTTTATATTTTGTAGTAATTGATTCTTCATATGACTCTGGTTCATTACCATCAAGTGTATCAAACACCATAAAAGCATATAAAGTCAAACCAAAATCATTAAATCTAACCGCCTGTTTAATAGTTCTTTTGGGTCTATTCGAAATATTTTTATTCAAATGATCACTTAAAGGATCACACAAATTTTCTTGTTGAAAATCAACACATTAGTTATCAAAATACAACAGAATAAGAACTGGAACCCACAATTTCATATTGAAAAACTGTTTCAGGTCTAATAGAATTCGTTTGAAAATTTTCTGAATTTTCAGAACATTTTCATCATTTTTCAATGAAAAACCATCAAACTCCATCTTATTTTGAATACTATCAAGTTCAGAAGTTGAAACAGGTAACACATTACTCAAACAAGTCATTTCAAGTTCATTAAATATAACATCACGACTAACATTTATTTTAAAACCTAGACTGCTTTTAATCCATAATCCACAACCTTTAACACATTCGAGATAACCAAGAAAAACACATTTTTCTACCTTAGGTTCTAATTTATCAGTTAGAATATGAGCAAATGCAACACAACCAAACTCTTAAATTTGACGAATTTATAGGCTTTCCTAACCACACGGATTCGGGACAATTCCTATTAAAGGGAACCGATGAGACCTATTTACTGAATAGGTTGTTGTTATAACAGCCTCTCCCCAAAACATCTAAGGCAAACCCGAGGAAGCCAACATGCTTCTAACTCTTTTTAAAAGAGTTTGATTAATCCTCTCAACCACCTCATTTTGTTAGGGGTGTATAAGGGACTGTTTTGTACCTAACAATATCATGCTCAACACACAAAGAATCTAACCATTTATTACAAAATTCAAGGCCTTTATTAGTCATTAAAATCTTAATTATCTACCATTTTTTATTTTCAATCAAAACTTTCCATTCTTTGAATAATTTAAAAAGATCAGATTTTTTTTATCATAAAAAATACCTAAACTTTTCTTAAAAAAATTATCAATCATAGAAAGAAAATACCTACTGTCATCATGCGTAGGCTCACTAAAAGGTCCCCACACATCAACATGTATATATTCCAAAATATGAGAGGGTTTAATCAATTTAGGAGCTCAACCATTAGAGAATTAAAATCTATGTTGTTTTCTATAGACACATTCATCACACAAAGTAAAGAAGAAATTTTATTTTTTTTCCAAAATAACTATTTTTGTGTAAAATTTCTAAACCTTTAGCATTTATATGCCCAAGCCTTTTATGCCATAATTCAGTTTTATCATCACACACTTTATTTGAAATTTTAGAATTCAAACATGCTCCAGCTTAGTGATATACAATTTATTTTTCCTTTCAACTTTGAAAACAACTAAAGAACTTTTTAAAACTTTCGTATAACCATTTTCCCACTTTCCTTCTAGCCTTATATCCTCTAAACTCACACAAGACAACAAGTTATTGCAAAAATCGGCCACATGTCTCACATTATTTAAAATTAACAGAAAACCAGTTCCAAACTTAAGATGAACAATGCCTACACCTTCAACTCTAGAAACTTTATCATTTGCCATAGAAATTGTGCAATTATATAATGTCTTGTAATTTGAAAAAATTTTTCTTAAGGGTGTCATGTGATAAGTACAAGTTGAATAAATTAACCATTCATTCATACACACCAAATTCACATACAACAATCAGTTTTCACCATATAAACATCACCAAAGTTTTGAAAATCCGAAGTATAATTAGCATGCTCATTAGGTAATTGTGTGCTAGTAGACCCAACTATTTTAGTACATTGTTTAACGTAATGCCCAACTTCTTCACAACCAAAACAATTTCTTTTGGGGTTTCTAGACTTAGACCAAGACTTACCCCTAGAATTTTTCTTCTATTTATTATTATTATTATTATTATTATTATTAATATTATTATTATTATTATTATTGGTCCTTGGTTTGAAGGAAGAAATGTTGGCTTGCAAATCCAAGTCTTACATTGGAAATTGAAAAGAAAATTTCACACCTTATAAGTTTTACATCAACTCTACTCGTATTGATGGACCAACAATATGGAGACCAACTGTTGAAAGGCCAGCAGTTGAGGAACTAAGAGACCAGTGGAGATGATTGATGACAATAGGATCGGTTGTAGAGAGATTGATCGACTAACTAACGATAAGTGAGCATTTGGATAGACTCTGTGGGGAGGACAGTGGAGTTGCTAGCAACATTGACAGAGCCGTCTACTTGGTCAACGAATGATATGCTCACAATACATTATTTAAATTTGCGATTGTTAGCGAGAAATATTAAATGCGAGAATATTACAACAATTTTAACTGTGAAACCGAGTCGAGAAATGTTTTCTCTTTGCAAATTATCATATGCTCGGGTAACACCTTCAATAGACAACATTCTAACTCCAAAAATAAAATGATTTTTGTCTGCGAAAAAAGTAACACCTCTTATCGTCAGAGCTCCAACAAACGAAACGAGAATAGAAATGACTGCTGCTAGAACGGACTTGAGAGAGGAAGAGTAGAGAAAGGTTTAGAACCTTTATATAAACACAATCACCTGAAAGAAAATGGAAAGCCAAACTTCAAGCCTAAGCTCGTGTGCGTGTCCGGTCCAAACCGCATGCGCCCATGTAGTTTTCCAAGACTCACATGTCCCAAGCAAATTTATTGTTACTTTTATTGCATCATTAAATATATAAAATAAAAAAACACAGTTTATTGATGTATTTAACTAATGTGAAACAAATTTTTAACACTCAATTAGTTATCAACTAGTTAGTTCAAAATTCATTATTGCAATTTAGCTAGTTTTTTTAATTAAATTTAAATCCAAAAAATTGAGAATTACTTCTCATATTCAGCCCAATATGTATTTAATCACACACAAAAAAAAAAAAAAAGAATATTTGATTGTTGTTTGAAATTTATTTAAAATGAAATATTGATTGGATTTTTTTGTTTAAATAGTATTTTAATGTAATATAATAAAATAATATATTTTTGTTGAAAATTGTATTGAATATTGTTAATTTTAATTTGAAATATTAAAAGAACATTCTATATAACACAGTCGTGTTCAATCCGACTAAGGTGCTACTTCTGCATCCATTATAGTCATGTAGCATGGTCCGTTGATATTTCAATGGTAAGACATAAAATAATGATTTATTGTTTATGTGAGACTAGTTTCGATAATATTTTGGCAAAATTATTCATAACTTTATTGTTTCGAAATTCAGAGTAAATCCCTCTGTATTTTGAAAATTGCATGCAGTTCTTTTATATTTCAAAAATATTGCATGAAATTTTCCGATCAAAAAAAAAATATAAATAGGAAATCATATTCTCATCATACAAAAAATGTTAAGGGGTTCATACAATGTTTTGAAAGTATAAGAGATGCTATAGAAGATTTACACCGACTTTCGAAACTATGTAAGAGTTATGGAAAATTTTTCCTAATATTTTAGAAGGTAAATTATTTTTTAGTCCGGTAATTGTACTTTATAATTTTAATTCCATAATTATAATCTATATTAAAAGATTCTTGTATGTACATCAGAAATACTTACATGACATACAAAATGATATCGTATCACATAAAAGACTAAGGACTAAAAAATATTTTATCCTATTTTTTTTTTAACAAGACCAAAAAAATTAAAATAATTTTGATTGGAACTTCAATGGGAGCTGCTCTTTTTATTTATTTATTTTGGATCCAAAGGATGGATGGAATGTATATTAAGATTTTTGTATTAGGTGTGATATGCCGCATGCTTATCTAGTGTGACTTATCTGTTATACATAATTTGGAAGTATTAGGTTGGAATGAAATTTACTAGTGTTTACTTTCGGCAGCGATAGTGAATTCACGAGTCATTAAAAAATATTATCTTATTTTTTTAATAAGATCAAAATAAAAAATAAATAAATTTGATTGGGAGGATCTCCCAAACGTGAATTTTGCTATCTGACTGAAAAAAAAAAAAAAAACTGGAGTTTGGTTTGGCAAAAGAACAAATGGACGGAGAATTGCCATCAATGCAACTCAACGCAAGAAGTTGACAAAAATGAAAGAAAATCACCAGAAGTTTCCTCCACTCTTGCTCACAATGATCAAATCTCCACTCTATGTAGCCTTATTCGCTGCTTATCTCTACCGATCCCACAAGAAGAGGAGGGAATCCCTCCACGCCCCCAACCGTTAGCTGCTTCCCGACCGACCACACCTACGTAGGCAGCTATGCCGATTACGGCTCCAGCTTCCTTGCCTTGCCACCGCACTTCTGCTTTCATCCCCAGGCTCCCGCGTTCATTGCCTACTCTCCAGCCCTCTCCTACTCCCGGCTATCGCGGTTTCTTTCCTGCAAGAATCCGAGCGAGCTCTTCTATTGCTCTGAAGCCCGTATGTTTTTTTTTTTTTTCTTCAATCGGACTCATTATTGTGTTGATTGAATTTCCAGCCTTGTTTATGGATATCCGTTTTGCTTATATCATTACACTGTGACTGGTTTTCATGTGAATTGGTTTTGGATTACTTCCTTCGCATTTTTCTTAGTTGAAGATTTAGTTGTGATTTTGGTCAAATTAGCTAGTGATTTTGGATGTAATGGGGAAGCTAACTTGTGACGTTTTAATGGAATTATTGATGGAAGTCATGATATCAAATATCACAATCAGGATAATAGATGATGAAGTTATATTGTTTCAATTGATCTCAGTAGACTGACAGCTAATTATGGGCAAAACGTGATATAAATCTAATTATATGTGGTTGGCCCTTATTCGAAGATGTAGCTTTTCCCTTTTCTTTTGTGTTCCATGACTGAATCATGAACATTACTTAATCATTCACGAACTTACATATCTCATGCATTCATTAATCATCCCTTTTCTTAATATACTGATGTTATAAGAGAATAAGATCGTTCGGGTTTATGAACAAGACAATGATGTCACGGTTCTCGATAGAATTGGTGCCTTTCCATATGCAATGTGGTTAGCATCTTGGAGGCTCTACAATGCCTAACAGTTATATTATTTTACTGCAATTTCAGGATGTCTTTAGGAATCTTAAAATGACAACTGTCAATTGTTCTTCCAACATATTAGAGATTCTGATCTTGATGGGCATACCTTATTTTGCTATTGAAATTGATTAAAATCCTATGTCTAAATTATGCAGAAAAGGATGGATGGTTATTACTATAGGTGATAAGTTCTGTTGTTGAAGTCATGATTTCTTCATACTCTGTGAACAACAGAAAAGAGAATTGAAAATGCTGTCATGCCAAAATGGTTCATAATTTCCCAAGACCAGAAATTCTGTAGATGGGACAAAATATAATGCAAAATGGATGCAAACTTTTGTAAATATAAGACGATCTATTTGTGGGGTATCAGGAATCCTAGTAAAATAATTTGCTCAATCAAACATGGTATCCCCTCAAAATTACCCTTAATACAAGTGTGGAACATTTACTGTAAATCTGTAATAAACAGTGCATAAAACTTGCCGATAGACCAGGTTATGCTTAGAAGTGAAGAACATTACTCTCCACCTTTTAACTTGGTCACTACAAGGTGTTGGTCTTTTTTTGTAGAAGAATATTTACAAATTACACTAGTTATATAAACCGCAGGCAACAATAATTTTATTGTCTTTTAGTTTTAGGCTAATGCTTGGTCTTGTGTATACTAATACTTGTCTTCACATTTTGGAAGGAAAGTGTTTCTTATTCTGGGGTTCATGCTGAGCGTGTTGTTTCTTGCTTGCTAGGAATCATATGTTGAAGATCAAGATACTTCATCTGCGGACTTGTTTGCTTGCCCCATTTGTTATGAGCCGCTAATCAAGAAAGGACCTTCTGGTTTCAACTTGTAAGTTCAAATTTGAATATAAGAATCAAGCAGCTGCTAGCTTATATGAACATTGAACTTTCCTTCACATTGTGTTTAAATATACGTATCATATACAATCTATTCTCATTCTGAATGCGCTTTGGCTTTTATATTAGTTTATAATTCATAGATTAACATTTTTGGAAAGTAGGGGAGTTATAGTAAATAGTAATCATATCAGGGTTATATTAGGAGGAAGAGTGAGAACACATAGCCAAACACTAAATCTGAAATGAGAGATGAAACTAATAGATGCCAAGCACTTAGAAAGGTTAAAGCTGTAGACGTTTAGAAGTATTTTAATAGCCAAACGAAAACATCTCCGATAGAGGATCCGTGTTTTGCAAGGAAGTTAGCCAGACTATTTCCACTTCTTGGAATGTGTTGGAAGACTATTTCTCGGTTCCTGTAAATTAGATTTCTGAGCATCTTTATTTTAAAGTTGAGTTTCCATGGGGTCTTGCCAAAAATCCAATCCAGGGCCTTTTTTTTTTTTAATCACTTTGATTTTTAGAAGGGGGTCAATCTACCCGTGAAAAAGGTGATCAAGAAGGTGGATAATCACAAGGTTTTTTTGCTTCAATTGACCCTGCAATACCAATTGGTTGAGACATAACGAGATACTGTGCCCAGAATGATCCCCTATGATTCCACCATTGCTTGCAGGGCCTAGTTTTCCCAAAAGTAGATTCATTAGTGTTAATTTTCCACCAACCTTCACTTGGAGGTTCCCAATCTTTGAGCCCAGCTAACATAGTGCTCCTTAGATTTGATGAATGACCCCAATATTTGAGCCCAATTCAAAGTTAACTTATATTCATTTTGGGTTTATTTGAAGTAAAAAATAGGTTTGTACTTGTTTGGATTATTTATTTTTAATTGTGCAACTCTCAATTTAAAGTGAACTGTTCGTTGGGCCATTGTAGTGAATTTGAACTCTTCATGTTTTGGAGTGGTGCTTGTCATCATTGTGTGCACAAAAAACATGTCAGAAAGTTAGGAAGAAGTGGCACAATGTGCACCTTGAAATTAGGTTGCAGAACTATCCTATAGTTCTCTCTCTCTCTCTCTCTTTCTTTTTTTTCTTTTTTTTTGTAATACCCCGCACTCACACAACTCAAGCACCCACCCAGGATCTTTTCCCCCAAGCGACAAATATCTCACCACTTAGATCTACAAGGGTTTGACCTATCCTATAGTTAATGTGCTTGTCTTTTATTTTTACCTTTCAAGTGCAATGAAGCTTTTTGTTTGTCATGTGGTGAACTGTTAACTCACCCTGAATCATGCAGGCCAGCACTCTATAGATCTGCTTTTAAATGTACAAAGTGCAACAAGTCATACTCCAGCAAAAACATCTACATTGATCTTACTGTTACTTCTGGCGCAAAAGAGTACAATGAGTTCAAACCTACTGGGACTGAACTATTCAGGTACAATTGATGATTGGAACATCATATATTGCTTAGAATGTACTGGAATTCAATTATTTTTGTGTTTCACTGCATTTGTAAACATTATATTTTATCTACAAGTTTTATGTGTTGTATTTTTGCTCGAAGTTGGTATTAATGCTTCGTAATGGTCTCTCTTGCTTGCTTTCTTAAAACTCACTGCTGTTGTAAACATAATATGTGATCCACAGAATTCTTGCTTGCTTTCATAAAACTGTGGCATCTTTGGAAATACATTTTTAGCTTCAAATATTTTGATTATTTTCATTATGAAATGCTAATAATGGATTATTTGTTAAATCATTGCCTATCCCATTGTGTGGCTTGGTTATATTGATCATATGTGCCTATTTTACTGTATTAAGAATAAATTTTTTGATAATGAAAGCACACATTATTTTTGCAAACGCAGACTTTCTATCAAGTTTTTTATGAAAATTGTTTTGAATCTGATGCCAAAGTTCTTAATTTGTTCTTAGGAGTCCACTTGTTTCATTTGCATATGAAAGGGGCTGGCGCCAAAATTTCAACCGAAGTGGATTTCCTGGTCCTGATGAAGAGGTACATTGTTATTACTTTTGGTTCCATCTTATCTATCAAGTCATAGCAACCTTTTCACATGTATAGAATAGAATCAAGATAAATATATAGGTATAATCAAACGATGTCAATCGTTTGCCCAAAGAACAATCCAACAGTATCAACCGTTTGTCCAAACGCCTAAAGACTATATTTTCGAAATTCTAAATAATGTCTCAAACCCTAGCTATTCTTTAAGTATTACTACCTAAATACTAATTACTAAAATTATTATGAGCTTATCTAGTAAACAATAAATAAACCCAACCTAAAATAATAAAAGTCCAAAATTAAATCCCAATCAAATAAATATTAAGAAACTGATAAATAAAAGCCCAAGCCTCCAAAAGCAAGGCTAAGCTGGTCCAGCCTCCAGTACACCAACAGGGGCCTTGCTCCTCCTCATTCCCGAGCTCTTGCCCTTGCTCCCTATCAACTCCATCCTCCTTCGAAACAACCTTGTTCTCAAGGTTGAAGTCCTGAAATTGACTTTGGATATTGGCTTAACTCATCTAAGTCACGTCAATAATCAATTGCCAAGGAAGAAGAAATAAAATTGTGGCTTACGCCACTATCAATAAAAATTGTCACAGGGTATCCTTTAACCATGCCCCAAAGCCTCATAGTGGTTGAAAATCCCAACCATAGAATAAACTGGAATATCACCAACTTGTCCACTCGAACCCCCTTGACTCTGCTGAACTTTCTGCTGACTTGTCACCTTGCAATACTCGTATTGTTGGAGATCAACTCCTCGTCTTCCTCGGTCACCATCATATGTAATTGTTTAAAAGGACAGTCATACTCGAGTGTAAAGTGTTTCTTATGCATAAAGCATACCTTTGGTGGAAGCCAAATGAATATGAAACGAGCTGTGGACTGTCCGGACAACCTCGAATTTGTTCCTGGGGGCTGCTCCGGAGCTGCCGCGCAACCTTAGAAAAACTACCACTCGTCCTATACATTGCTGCTAGTTGTTGCCAAATTACTTCATCCCAGTAGTTTTGAAAAATTGCCCGAATGTGTCCCTGAAACGTTGAAAGTCTAATCCTCTCTTCCTCTATTTGAAAAGGACATGTAGTCGACATTATCTTCAACCAATTTCATCACCATCTCCAAATCATTCAGGCAAAGCAGCCGCAAATCGAGCCATTTAGTCCGTTCATGAAATACCCTAAATAGCGTTCGTCAGGCAGCCTGGCACCTGCCTGCCAATTGGACAAAAAGCACACATAATCCTCCACTGTTGAGATTGCCTGATCTCGGACAGCCACTTGAACCGGCTGCCTTTGTGTCAAACTGTGCTATTGCCTATGTGAACTCCTACGAAATTGTTGGCTTTCGCGGCTTCAACCATATCAACTAATACAAGGCCAGCAATCCATAGCAACCATTGCTGATGCCACCTTCATATCTGGTGGGGTACAGTTCAATTCAAAGTGTTGCTCGTCCCGAGCTATCCACCCAATTGAATCACTACCACCAAATGACAGAAATAGTGTCACCGCGTGCTTGATCACATGTTTTTGGCGCTGCCGGGGGTGTGACAGATGCTCCCGGCCTCCTTGTGTCCCTCTAGCCGATGAATGTCCCTCCGGTGACAGCTTTAGAATCGACTTCAACAGCAAAGCAGAGAAGCCGCGATCTCAGCCAATTGCACTCTGTTCTCTGCCAATTGCATCCTATTTTCATCCAGTTTCTCCTTCATCTCGGCCTGATAGGCTTCAATCTATCCAATCAATTATTGGTTGATCTCATCATTCAGGCGGAAATAGAATCCGGCAGGTCGGATCAATTGATAGATACAAGATAAATAGATAGGAATAATCAAACAATGTCAATCGTTTGTTGAAAGAACAATAAAACAATATTAACTATTTGCCTAAAAGCCTAAAGGCTAATTTATTTCCAAGATTCCGAATAATGTTTCAAACCCTAGCTACTCGTTAAATACTACTATCTAAATCCTAATTACAAAAATTAAAATAAGTCCATCTAATAAATAAGAAATAAACCCAACCTAATAGGCCTTGCTCCCCCCTCCTTCCTGAGCTCGTCTCCTTGCTCCCTATGACACTCCTTCAAATATGTGGACTTGTGAATTATGCAAGTTACACGGAAAACATGATAGAATGTTCTATAATAATATAGTTTTATAGCTACAGGAACTAGTCATCCTTTGCATGCGTTCTATATACACTTGTTTTTTTTATTATTTTTTATTTTTTTATAAATCTTCCACTCATCCTCTCTTTCTATTTGGATTGCATTTAAAGGAGTACACTACATGTTATTGAATGTGATTCTTCTCAGTGTTCCATGATTCCTGAGTCCTGACCCCTCTGTTGAAAATCTTATGCAGTTCAATATGGCCCAGGAATACTTCCAACCAGCTCAAGGTGGAGTGCTTGTAGATGTCAGCTGTGGCAGTGGGTTGTTCTCCAGGAAATTTGCCAAATCAGGGGCCTACTCAAGAGTTATTGCACTTGACTTTTCTGAGAATATGCTTCTCCAGTGTTACAATTTCATTAAAGATGATGATACCATCTTAAGCTCGTGGGTATTTTCTTCCTCGTTTTCCCTTTTTCTTGAATTTTTGTGAATTCGGAATCCCAATCATTTTTCCAACTAAGCAGTTTGGTTGTCTCTTCTTTACTCTAATAAAAAGAATTCTATTCAATTTGGCAATGTGCAGCAATCTTGCACTTGTGAGAGCTGATGTTTCAAGGCTTCCATTTCCATCTGGCTCTATTGATGCCGTTCATGCTGGTGCAGCCTTGCATTGCTGGCCATCTCCTTCAAATGCAGTAAGTTTATAGTTTGCAGGCCCTGAAATAATAGTTTTTTTGCTTTATATAATTAATTGGACTGAAACATGTGAATATCTAAATTTATGTCTAGACTCAATTGTTGCTTTCATAACCTTTTTTTTTTTTTTGGAATTTTGAAGAATCTTCAACAAGTTAATGGAATCCATGCATCTGTTTTCTATAATCTCTGATAATCTGATTCCCTTCATTTTTAGGTTGCTGAAATCAACCGAATATTACGAAGTGGTGGAGTTTTTGTTGGAAGCACTTTTCTTCGAAATAATCCATCAGTCCCTTCCTTCTTAAGACCTTTTAGACAGGTAGGCCCTTTAGAAAACAGTCTATCATTCCTTCTATTTTTCTAATCATATTTCGGTCTCGCTTTCTTCGACAACCTGTCAACTTACAGTATCAGATGCTACTGAATCCACTATTGATTAATATAGATAATTGAATGTAGTTTTATATGCAGAAACTTGAGCCTCTATAGAGAAGAACATAAAACTATAGACAAGGACTTGAGAGAAATTAGATTGCTGCAGTCTTGACATAAATCCACCAATTTGATCATTTGAGCTAATCTAACATCTTATAGTTATAATCTGATCAAGTATTTCAGAGCCTAATCTATATACTCAGAGTTTCGATTTGCATTTTTCAACCAAATCGTGATAGCAATCCTTGATGATAAAAATTGTAAACTTCAGCTACCTATAAGGGCATTATAATGGGAATGAAAGATCTCAAAACTCCTCTTCTATTAAGTTTGCTCTTAGGTGGAATACATCAAAATCACGAAAAGATCGTTTGGCTCACAGGTTAAATGATTTGTCGTGAAAAGTGTAAATAGAGAGCAAATAGAAAGAATTGTAGAGAGTTTAATTGAAATAGAGGATTTATATTAGATATAGGGAGATGTTTAGGGTGAGGAAAGAGGGTAAGCTTATGGTGTCATTCTCTAACATATGTTGGAAGAGTTTATTTAATTTAGATGCCGATTTTCCAAGTATATATATATATATATATATGTGTATGTTTACAAAGACTAGGGAGTGAAATAATTTCAAAATTTTATTCCCGTGGCTAGTATGCTCTGAAGGAAGATATATATATATATATTTTTTGATATATACTAATTAGTAAATATTTATTTGAAAATAATAATTACGACTAAAATTAGTTTATTTATCTTCACGTGCTTACTAAATGTTTAAAATTGATCGATTATAATCAATATGTAGTTTCCATGCAAATATGACATGTGATAATGTCTAAAATTGAATAACTGTAACTACTTTTTTCATTTTCAAATTGTACTTTCAAGTATGAGAATAAGCAAACTTAGGGGGAATGACCAAAATGGGTAAACTTATGAAGAATGAGTGTATTAGTGATTCTCATATAAATGAGCAGTTCTCGAAAATGCATCATTTATTGGAATTAGTATAGTGATGGTTTTTTCAAGTGTTGTTTTGAGTTCAATTGTTTTCTGTTAATTCTGGTCGAAAGTTCCCTAATGTAGATTTCAGACATTTGGGTGTGTTTCAATATGTTTCGAAAGGTTTTAGAAGATCATTTAAGAGAGAATATTAATGAGAAGTGTGAAAATAAAGTTTAAAACATAAGTAAATAGTGATTACATTCACGACGCCTGCAAATATATCATATAGCTGCATCTGGCTTTGCTTGACAGATGATGATGAGGAACAACTATTTCACGGCCGAGGAGATTGAAGAGTTGTGCACATCTTGCGGTCTCATTGATTACACGAAAAGAATACAGCAATCCTTCATCATGTTCTCCGCCCAAAAACCTTAAGTATATGTTGGTTACGGGGAAATTGCAAAAAATATCTCCCATGTATACCAATTATTATTTTTGTCCTATATTTATCTTGTTGGAAAAATATATTCCTCATGTTTGCAAAAGTCGCTATTTTTATCCCCTTTGGCCGCGCGTGGGGTGAATGTAATGCACAGACAAAGGACAAAAATAACGACTTCTGCAAATATGTAAGATATATTTTATCACAGAGATAAATACAGATGGTGTATACATGAGGTATATTTTCTGCAATTTTCTCGTTGGTTATGGAACACCATGATGTGTTTCTGCAAACCATAAGATAATCTGATGTCTTCTTGTTTGATGATGGCGCCGAACCGATTCAAGATACGTTCCGATCTTCTTCACATTTTGAGGTTGTCTTTCACTTGCTTTATTTACTTGTTGTAGTTAATAAAACCCATATTACGATGGTAGTTGAGAATGTAAAGCAAGCTAAATATAGTGAAATGAACATAGAAAAAATTTCAATGTTGGTTCTATTGATTATTCCATTGTAACACTGGTAAAAGTTTGCTTCATAATTAGTTTCATTAAAATGTGTATGTTGATAATCAAATACAAGTTGTGATGTGTATCTTATATAGTCCCTCCGTCTCACTTCTCATATCCACTTTTCTATTTTTGTCCGTCCACTTATTTTGTCATTTTTAAAAAAAAAATAATTATACAATTTAATCTTATTTTTAAACATTTTAATTTATAAATTTTTTTAATTTTAATTATACTAATAAATTATTTTAATCTTAATTTATAATTATTTTTATTATACGATAATTATTTTCAATAATACATTTTTAATTATTTACTAATTATACATTTCCTAAAATTCCCGTGTCTACAATAAAGCGGACAAAATATCCGGGACAAAGGGAGTAATTTACAAGCATACATAGGATTATATTTTTTATTTTGTATTTTTTAATGTGGAACTTTGGGTAGTTTCGGTGCACTTTAAACTCTAACCAAACTTTGCTACTCTTTCTTTGCCACGTAATTTTTTCTATTTTTTATTTTCGTTCGTTTTATATATAATTTATTTTTTATTTTTTCGGAAATATGATAATATATTTTAACCGTATTTTAAATTTTATAATTTTATTAAATTATTTAGTTATCTTATTTAATCTATAATTATTTTTATTATACAATAACTATTTTTATTAATATATTTTTTAATTATTTATTAATTTGTTGATGTAATTTTTCAACAAAAATAAAGTAAAATTCAAAGATATAGAAAATATCCTTAAACTTGATTAATTAGTGCCTGAGATTAGGAATCTCTAAACACTGTATGGTACAGAAAATAAACTGGAAAATAAAAGACTGAAATTTAAAGTGGTGATCCCCAAATCTGACTTTGCTTTGTTGAAGTTGATTGAAGATGCCTTGCCAAATGATGATCCAAATCCTTAAATATTCTTTGAAGAAAACGTTCAGAACCGTCGCACTGTTTCACCAACCGTTCCCACCAGTTACAGAACTCAGAACTGCCTCTTTCATTGACACATGTCTTTAACCGCCTCGCCAACCGCATAACCCAACGACCGACCAACCGACCAATCTAGATACAAATTGGTCGCCAGATCAAAAGACTCACTGGTCGCCCCATCAAACGACCACTATTTGGTCTCTTCAATCGTCTGACCTATCAACAGACCTTTCTTCGCCCGACTTCCTTTTTCGACCGACCCCCATAGCAGCCAACCTTTGTATCAACCGACCCATTTATCCGACTGCGGATAATCCGACCTGCTTGCCCGACCGCGGACCATCTGACTTGCTTATCTGATTGAGAACCAACCGACTGAGAACCCACTGACTGACTCTGGATACCTTATTATTATTATTATTATTATTATTTTTGTGCGTAACAACATGCCTCCTCCTCAAGACTCCTAAGCATCATTTCTTATGATGTTTTAGGAGTTAGTAGGTTAGCATCCGAGGCTACGTCAGCCTCAGATCCGACCTCCATCCTTTGAGGCTACGTTGGACCCGACCTCCATTTATCGCGGACTGGTGCTGGCCTGGACGTTGGTCGATCTTGCACTACCATTGTATTCAGACTCCCGTCCGACTTATTCCTCCTTTCGGCCACTGTTGTTCTGTCATTCTTTTGCTCGCCTGAAAAGTTATGGTCGGCGACCTGACCTGTATCCGTCCATTCGGCGGGGTCCTCCTGACCTGTATCCGTCCATTCGGCGGGGTCCTCCTGACCTGTATCCGTCCAGGTTACGTAGTCCTCCCGATTTTTGTCCGTCCAGTCGACATGGTCTTCCCGATCTGTATTCGTCCAGTCGGCATGGTCCTCCCGACCTTTGTCCATCCAGTCGGTGTGGTTGTCCCGACTACGGTCCGTCCATTCGGTGTGGTCCTCCCGACCATGGTCCGTCCAGTCGGTGTGGTCTTCCCGACCATGGTCCGTCCAGGCGTCGTGATCCTGCCGACCTGTCTCCGTCCATTCGGTCGTCCCTGGTCGGGCCTGTCCTCCTGTTTGGTCCTGTCTCCAGTCTGTCTGACTGGGTATATGCTCAGGAATGGCGTTGTCCGTTTGGGGGCATGACATTTCTGGCGGTGCAGGAACCGAATTCAACATGAATTTTGATTGCTCCATCAAGTTTTGCATTGCATCATGTATTGCCTGCAGATTTGCTATCTGCTGGTCGTACATTTGCCGAAAACCTGCTGTCAATTCGGCCCGTAGTTGGGAAGCTTCTTCTGCCGTGATAAAGCCAACAGCTGTACTGTGGAATTGAAAATTTGCCATATGGATCAGCAATTTTCTCCCACTGTGGTCGCCAATTTGTTGATGTAATTTTTCAACAAAAATAAAGTAAAATTCAAAGATATAGAAAATATCCTTAAACTTGATTAATTAGTGCCTGAGATTAGGAATCTCTAAACACTGTATGGTACAGAAAATAAACTGGAAAATAAAAGACTGAAATTTAAAGTGGTGATCCCCAAATCTGACTTTGCTTTGTTGAAGTTGATTGAAGATACCTTGCCAAATGATTATCCAAACCCTTAAATATTCTCTGGGAAACCGTACTGAAAACCGTCACCCGAACGGTTACAACGTCTCCTTCCCAACCGTCTTCCAACCTTTCTCCTGCTGACACGTGTCCTCAGCAGACCAAAATTATCCCTATATTTCACTCTTTGAGCCGACCACAGACCTTCCGCCCTTTAGGCCCGACTGCCAATCTACAACCGTATTGGTCCGACTGCCAATCCTCCCGACTTGCAAACCATCTGACTTGTTTGGATTAGCTACAGACATCCCGACTAACAAATCATCCGATTTGTTGGTCCTACCGCAGAGTTCCGACCTGAGAACTTCCCGACCTGAGGGCCTCCCGACCTGCGGACTTTCCGTCCTGAGGGCCTTCCGACCTGCGGACTTCCCGTCCTGAGGGCTTCCCGACCTGTGGACTTCTCGTCCTGATGACTTTCCGTCTTGAGGACCTCCCGGCCTGAAGACCTTCCGACCTGAGGTCTTTCCGTCTTGAGGACCTACCGACCTGAAGACCTTCCGACCTGAGGTCTTTCCGTCCTGAGGACTTTCCGTCTTGAGGACCTCCCGACCTGAAGACCTTCCGACCTGAGGTCTTTCCGTCCTGAGGACTTTCCGTCTTGAGGACCTACCGACCTGAAGACCTTCCGACCTGAGGTCTTTCCGTCCTGAGGAATTTCCGTCTTGAGGACCTCCCGACCGGAAGACCTTCCGACCTGAGGTCTTTCCGTCCTGAGGACTTTCCTTAGAAATAAACCTATTTTCCTTGAGCCAGTTCAACCAACTCTAATGTCAGGCCCATTCTTCTTTTACCTTGGGCTTTTTAACCTAATTCTAAATTTCATACGTAACACCTTTCAATCTATAATATATTACACTAGGGTTAATTTAGTCTTTTTACCTTTATTTCTACTTTATTCCAATATAATACTAATATTTTTAAAACTCCGTGCAAAAAATAAATTGATATATAGATATGGGACAGAGGGAGTATCTATTAAACAAAATTGATTGCATGAGAAATATGTGGACGAGTGCATACCATTGCATACATAAGATTGTTATACAGTTGACTAAAGAATCCCTGCCAAATTTTCGTTCTCTTAAACTAACTATGTTGACTAAGCAGTTGATAATCGTAAATGATTACCAAAAGGGACATTAATTGGCTTGATATCATTCACCGTTGATTCCAATGTTTTTTTAGGGTATGTTTGTTTGGTGGATTGAATTTATAAAACACCGTAGTCCTAAATCCTATCCTGCACGTCCTTGAGTTGGTCAAATCCATCCATAATAATTAATGTGATTTGACTGTTTAACGCCATGACAATTTCCATCCAGTATAGAATGGTGCAATCCAACAAATCCAAAAAAAAAGAAAAAAAAAACATGTGTGTTGTACACGTACATGCCGCATCATATCAAACGTGGATGCTATTGATCATTGCACACATCAACTACGTAGTCATTTGATGTATTGTTTATAGCCATAATCATATTCATCTTACCTATATATATAAGTTACTAGTTGAAATGAAACACACTCAAATTACATCTCTCAATCTCTCTCTCTCGGATGACTTCTCATATCTATTAACAATATCACAACTTAGTACATATAATATAATATATTATATAAAGGTATATATCATATCATATATACACTCATATACCGCATACATATATCTATATATATATTTCTACTTTATATTATATACAATATATATAAAATAGTGGTTAGCGGTATAAGTAATTAATATTTCTATTGGCTAATCCTATATTAATATTACAACACGTTATCAACACGATTATGAATTTTAATTTTCGCAAGGTAATATTTTATATATTTATTATGTATAACCTTGCCAAACAGGAATTTCTCCATCTCCTCATTTCTGGCCAAAATTATATGGCCTAGACTCGCGATGTTAAAATGCATCTGGCATCAATGGGCTTGGAAAATACCATTCACCGGGATAAAAATTCCCCGAGCCAAGATCGTGCAAATGCCATGATCTTTTTGTGCCATCACATCGATGAGGCACTGAAAATGCAGTATGTGACGTTGGAATCCCCACTTGAATTGTGGAAGAGATTGAAAGAAAGATACGATCACTTGAGGTTGACTTTGTTGCCAAGGGCACGAAGCGAATGGCAAAGCCTACGGCTTCAGGACTTTAAAACAGTTCAAGAATACAATTTTGCTATGTTTAAAATAACATCACAGCTGCGCCACTGTGGCGAAAATATATCTGAATCTGATATGATGGAGAAAACTTTCTCCACTTTTCATGCCTCTAATATGGTCTTGCAACAGCAGTATCGTGAAAGAGGCTTCCAGAAATATTCGGAGCTGATCACCTGTCTTTTGTTGGCCGAACAAAATAACGAATTTCTGTTAAAAAATCACGAATCTCGGCTGACAGGTGCAAATCCATTTCCCGAGGCAAATGCA